ATTATATTCTTCCATTTTTGGTATGTATATACCACATTTTGCTTATCCATTCATCTATTTTTAAAAAATGTATTCATTCTTCTTCTTTCTTCTTTTGGGGAGGGGACAGTTAGGTTTATTTATTTTTGGAGGAGGTACTGGGGATTGAGCCCAGGACCCCTGCATGCTAAGCATGTACTCTACCACTTGAGCTATATCTTCCCCACCATTCATCTGTTGCTATTGGATTGTTTTCCACCTTTTGGCTAATGTGACATGCTGCTATAAACATTAATGTACAAATATCTTTTCACGTGCCTGCTTTCAGTTCTTTTGGATAGATATACCTGGGGTTGGAATTGCTCAGTCATTTGGTGGTCCTATGTTTAATCTTTTGAGAAACTGTTAGTTTTCCACAGTGGCTGCATCCTTTTACATTCGCACCAGCAATAACAAGGTTCCAAATTCTCCACTTCCTACCCAATATTTATTATCCATTAAAAAATTATATTACCCATCCTAGTAGGTTTAAGGTGGTATCTCACTGTGGCTTGAATTTGCATTTCCCTAATGACTAATGATGTGAAGTATCTTTTGCATGCACTTTTTAGCCATTTGTTTATCTTCTTTGGAGAAATGTCTATTCAAATCCTTTGTGCATTTAAAAAACCAAGCTGTTTGTCTATTTATTGTGAAGTTTTAAGGATTCTTTATCTGGATACTTGACTCTTCTCAAATATAACTCGCAATTATTTTATCTTATTCTTTAGATTGTCTTTTCACTTTGATATTCTTTGATGCACAAGTTTTTATTCTGATGAAGTCTAATTTGTATATAGATTTTTGTTTGTGTGATGTCTAAAATTCCATAGCCCTAATCACATATAAACAAAATGTATACTCATACACTGAACTATTATTTGGCCATAGAAAGGAATGAAGAGCTGATATATATCGTAACTTGAATGAACCTTGGAACATTATGCTAAATGAAAGAAACCAGTCATAAAAGATCACATATTATATGCTTCCATTTATATGAAATGTCCAGAATAGGCAAATTCATAGTGATAAAAAGTAGATCACTAGTTGCTTTAGGGGTGAGGTGGGTGGAGGTGATGCGAAGATATGGGGCAATACCCAAGGCTATGGATTTAGTTTTGTTTTGCATGCAGGGACCCAGCATTTATACATGTGAGGTTGGGGGATGTTCACTCAGTCCAGCAGTGATCAAACCATGGAGTCCTGCACATGTAGTGCAAGCTCATGGCCTCCTCATGGCTGCACCTTTGGCAGCGCTTGTGCTCAGTTCCTGGCAAGATGGGATCCCAGGACATTTTAGCCATGCTTTGGGTCAGTTCAACCCTGTCTGCTTTGTGCGTGATTTTGCTGACATAGATGTAGCTACTGTAAGGTTCTAGCTGGTAATCACAGTTCCGGCATGCAGAGTAGAATGTGGTTCTTTTCGCCCTCCTTGGATAAAACATGTTACGTTTCTGGCAGAATATAATAATCATGAGTCCTGGTTCTTAGATCCCACCTGGCTCCACAGCAATGCCTATAGATTTATTTTTTATTGTAGTAAAAGACAAAATTTGACATCTTAACCATTTTTTAAGTGTATGGTTCAGTAGTGTTAAGTACACTGACATTGTTGTGCAATGTCACAATAATTGTATCTTCCACTGTATGTATATAACACATTTTGTTTATCCATTCATCCATGGATGGAGACTGGGATTGCTCATACCTTTTGGCTATTGTGAATATACTATGAACGTAAGTTTACAAATAACTATTAGAATCCCTGCTCTCATTTCTTTTGGGTATCTACCCAGAAATGGAATTGCTAGATCATGGTAATTTTACTTTTAAGTTTTGAATAACTACCATGTTGCTTTTCCATAGCAGCTGCATCATTTTACTTTCCCAGCGATGGTGCATAAGGGTTTCAATTTCTCTGCATCCTTGCCAACACTTAGTATCTTGTCTTTTTGATTACAGTAATTGTAGTGGGTGTGAGTGGTATCTCATTTTGGTTTTGATTTGCATTTCCCTAATGCAAATAATGAGCAAATTGAGTAGTCTGGCATTTTTTTGTTATTAAATTAAAGGAGTTCTTTGTGTATTCCGGATATTAAACCCTTATCAGATACATTACTTGTAAATATTTTCTTCCATTCTGTACATTACCTTTGTACTCTGTTGATTGTCCTTTGATGCACAGAAATTTTAGATTTTCATAGTTCAATTTACCAAATTTCACTTTTGTTGCCTGAGTTTTTGGTATCAAAGAAATCATTGCCAAATTCAATGCTGTGAAGTCTTACCCGTTTTCTTCTAAGTTTTATAGTTTTAGCTCTCACATTTAGATCTTTGATCCATTCTGAGTTAATTTTTGCATATGGTGTAAGGTAAGAAGAGTCCAACTTCATTCTTTTTTTGGGGGGGTGTGTAATTAGGTTTACTTATTTCTTTTTAATGGAAATACTGGGGATTGAACCCAGGACCTAAGCATGCTAAGCATGCATTCTACCACTAAGCTATACCCCCGCCTGCAACTTCATTCTTTTATATGTGGATATCCAATTTTCCCAGCACCATTTGTTGAAAAGTGTTTTGTTTTGTTTTGTTTGAGGGGTTAAAAATGTTCTAAAATTGTGGTGATGGTTGCACATACCTGTGAATATACTAAAAACCATTCAATCGTGCATCTTAATGGTGAGTCATATTATATGCGAATTATATTTCAATAAAGTTGTTTTAAAGAAAGGAAAGCAAAAAATATCCAGTAACCCAGATTGCTGGTCCCCACCCCCAGCACTTCTAATTCAGCAGTGCTGAGGCGAAGCTGATGCTGCTAGTCTAGGGACTATACTTAGAGAACCACTCTATTAGCTGATAAGAAATGACAGTTTCCTAAGAAATTTCAAAATAGTTTTCTTTTATTGTCTTTCAGAGACAGGGATAACTATGGTTTGTATACGGTTCTTTCATTAAGGCCCTGACATACTTTAATTTTATCTCAGTTTACAAATAGGTGGGTGTTCCTAAAGGGAGCTTTCTTAGGTATATCTTCAAAGACGTACTGGATACATCGTAAAAAACTTCACTTCATAGATACTTCTTTAGAAAGATTTCATATTATAAGCTTATTTTAATAGTGCAAAAAAAATCTGCTTCCAATCAGCGGGAAAACTTTCAAAGAATTTTATAAAAATAGCCAATACTTTGAACAAATACAAAATATCTAGGTAAATATTACAATTATGTACTCTAAACCCAAGAAAGCAGAGACTACCTTATAAACCAAATCATTCATGGAGCTGGTCATTTCAGGTTACTAAAATGCATAAAACAAAACTTAAGTTTTACAGAAAAGAAATAAAACAACTCCAGTTAAGAAAACTAATGTAAGTTTCATGGGAAACAGACCACATTGGTGACTTTAAACATTTTTCAAGGAATTCACAGAAATAGGGAACATCTACATCTTGATTTTTACACAAATGAGTTTTGTGCTGAGAAGCTTAAAAGACTGCTTGATCTTCTGACCAATAGCTCAGAAGTAAAAGCCAATCGAGACAGAAGATGGGACCCATAAGTAAGACTTTAACCTGATCTTAAAGTATAAAGCAAAATATTATGATAAATTAGTTTAAAAATCAAATATATTTTAGTTTAGACTTAAATATTAAAGAAACAAAAATTATTATAATTAGGATCTGACTAAAGATTGGATAAAGTTTTTTTTCATATTTGTCTTACAGATAATACTGATCATTCAATATCAATGGATATGCTTATTTTTGTGTATGAGAAGGGTATGGCTTGAGAAACCAATACTTACATTAAGTTCATTACCATTGCCAGAACTTGACAAAACTGGTGTTTTGGGTGTGATATTGTTTGAAGTTCATTATAAAAGGAGATTGAGAATCTTGCTAAAACTGCCCGGGCAGAAGGGTATCTCTCCATACATCTCTATGTATTTCTATATATATATCTCCTTACTACATCACAGACACAAAAACAATATTAATATATTTACATATATGTATTGGGCCAAAAATGAATTAACTTTCCCTACAAAATTATAATTATGAAAATACTAATAGACACTATATAATAAAGGAACCACTCAAGAAAAGATGGCAACCATTCCAATAGCTGAGTTCTATTGCTTTCTCTTAATAACATTTCAGGAATGGAGAAAAAGGATGAGCAGTTTGTAGATAGCGATGTCTACCCCAGAAATACCTGGTAGGCAGAAGTGAACAACCTAAAAATCATAGCCCTTTATATGGGAAAATGGCTAATGTTTTTGTCAGTGGTAACACCTCCTCTTACACTTGAAAGTTACTCCTTAGGACTTATACTAAAGCAGAGAGCACCACTTTAGTTAGGAGAAATTTTCCCTAAGTGTTCTACTACTTAAACCTTTGGTAGAAAGATGAACAAGTTGACAGCAGGCTATTTGAGGCCTTTCATCATTCCTGGCTGTAGAAATTTAAAAATGTACCATATAAATTAACTATAACGTCATCAGAAAGAATTTTACTAGGCTTCTATGACCTAAAGATAAAGATTAAATAGCGATGGAGACTCTGACATAATACTAAGTGTACTATGCACTGTAGTCCATGGGTCTAGTGGTAGAAAGGTAGTCAGTCCTTAAGCAGATCTCGGTAAATTTGCTTGACTACATTCTTTAGGTAGTTGTCTTCCAGTGGCACTTTAGATAGACTGGCAGTGATTTCATCTTGGCTGAAAAGAACACAAGGTCAATTAATTTTTCTGGAAACTTATACTTGTCTTCAACTCAGTGGAATTCACAAATTCAGTGGAATTTCAGTGGAATTCGTGTTTTTGGGTATAGGCTCTGAACCTCCTAGGAGGCACAAATAGGCCTTTCTAGAAACAGATTGTCCAGTTTGAACTGAAATTCCAAAAATTAGCCCTAAGAACCAATTCTGTATGTAACTGTGAGGTATCTTGACTTATCTGCCTTCTCTGGCAATAAAAATCTACAACTGTTGGTGTTTGCTGATAGATCTGAAGTGGGCATATTCTAAACTCTGTCATCTTGCAGTCTGTCAGCAGTATGTTCAAAAAGTCACAAAATATACAGTAGAGATGAATAGTTTTAGGTCTGTTTACATAGACTAATTGAGAAAAGCATGACTGTACAGCTTTTTAGAGATTATTTTGTTTTTAAAGCCATAAAAGTAGTTCAAATATGATCTGGGCTAAGCTTATGCAGGACTTTTTTTCCATCTTGATACCTGTTTTAGGTAGGAGTTGTCAAAAAGTAGAGCAATTATAAAAGAATAGACCAAAGGTCTGCAGCATCCACTGGAGACAGCAATGAAGGTCACTGACTTTAAAAGAACAAATACTTCAAAATGAAGTCAGAGAGAGCTGATATTTGGCTTTTGCTATGGTCTATTCATTTTCTGACCACTTTGAGGGATTTTTCAAAAGATATAACAAAGGTAAAAAAGTAGTTGGGAGTTCTTTCCTGCTGGCCCTTTACTCACCCAATGTTTCCAAGGTGTTTTTGAATAGAGAAAGGTAATGGGACAGATGGATAATGGGCTGAGAGAAACAAAGTTATCTCAAACTTTGCAAATGCTGCAGAGCTGGAGAATAAAAGTTTCAATCTGTAAAAGACAAGATCTTCAATTAAAAATAGAACACAAAATAGAATGAAACACAAATACATTTTCCTTTTACACTGGCATGTGAAACTTTGGTATAAATCATTTCTTGTCCTTATCCTTATCAAATGAACAGAGGGTAAAAGATCTGTAACAAAATATGATTATGGCTGCATTTTCATCATTAGTCACAAAACTGATTAATAAAATAAATTATTTTAATTATAAAGTTTTTGACTAATTACTTACTGTTACAGTTTGAGTTTTGTCCCCTAAAAATTCGTGTTGTAACTCTAATCCTAAGTACCTCAGAATGTGACCTTATTTGTAAATATTATTGCTGATTTAATGAGTTAAGATGAGGTCTTCCTGGAGTAGGATGAGCCCCTAATCTAAAATGACTGGTGTCCTAATAAAGAGAGGACATTCGGACACAGACATACACATAGGGAGAACATCCTGTGAAGACGAAAGGAGATGTTGGGATTATGTATTTACAATACATGCCAAAGACTGTCAGCAAATCACCAGAAGTTAGGAGAGAGGCTTCAAATAGATTCTCTTTCACAATCCTCAGAAGGAACTAACCCGGCTGACACCTCGATCTCAGACTTCCAGCCTCCAGAACTATGAGACAATAAATTTCTGTGGTTTAAGCCACCCAGTTTGTAGCACCTTGTTATGGCAGCCCTAGGCAACTAATACACTTACTCGGTATTATTCACATCTATGTTCATTAGGTTATAATTTGGTCCCCATCGCTTTAAAAATTCAATCTCCTCCCCAAGGAGTTTGCAATGGCTCACTACCAGTGAGATTTCTTGAAGCATCTGGGAAAAATAGAAAGAAAAAAAAAGTTGAAAAGTATGAAAACATTTATGGTGTTTAGTGGCTCTTTTATAAAAAACCCTTGAAAGTTAAACAATTGAATATATTTATCATTTCAGGATCCACTATTAAATACATAAAATTTCACTTCTGCTTTTTGGTACAGATAACAATTTTCCTTTAAATACGTCAATCAGAAATTACCTTGGGTACCTGGTGCTGTGTTGTACATTTCTTTTTCCAGAATTCCTGTTGCTCAATGTACTGGAAAATAAGGTTATGAACTAAAAGGGAGGAAGGAGGAGCTTTATCCTCTGAGGAAGGGGAAAAAAAAATCAAAAGTGGAGTATTACTTACTATTCGTATGTTTTATATATATAATAGAAATATTATCTATAAATATCTTCAAATTACCAGATGTCTAAGTATCCTCTTCAATTTATTTTCAAACACATAAATTAACATATATAGTGAACATAAGACATTCTGATATAAATTCAAGCCTTTATCACATACAGAATAGAACTTAGTTAAAAGCATGGCCTTAAATGTAACATAGCCCTGAGTTTAAATTCTGGCTTTCCTTACTACCTGAGTAATCCTAAGCACAACACATTTCTTTTAAGCTGTAGTTACCTAATTTGTAAAATAGGGAGTAATACCTACTTCATAGTGTTGATGTAAGTAAATGCACATGCCTGATAATAGAGTGAGTACTCATATTGGTAATTTTTAAATTATGGAAATAGCTATTATTAATCATTGCTCAAGATCTAGCAATAACTTAAAAAAATTTCTTTTAAAACCCACCCAATATTTGAATAATACCCAAGCAGTTTTAAGTATAATACATATTTCTAAGCACCAATTATTATTATTGTTGTTGTTTATATTTAATTTAGTATGCAAAAGGATTCTCAAGGAGCAATTTGCACTTGTAAATTTCTAAGAAATTTTTGGTGGATTAAATATTTTGAACTTACCATCTAATAGAGACTGGAAATTCAGGTCAACAATCTTCCTATAGGCCTTGTTCAGGAAAGGGAGACCAACTAGGAAGAATCAGCATAAGAAGAATATTTCTTTTTATTATCTGATTTAAAGTGCATACAACTCAGTACTTTAGAATCCTACTCCTTCCGGGTAGCAGGGTTTTTCATAGGCAGCTGAAAGCTTATCCCTGAATCATATTATTCTCCGTGTATGGTAAAGTCTTCCCTGGGAATGTTGAACTATATTAACTGGCAGGTCTTTAAAGGAAATTTAAGGTGTGATACATTTTTGTAAATTTATCAGGGCCTCCTCCTTTGATCCCTAACTTCTGTGGAAAGATATTATTTTCAGGAACCATGTAAAGAAAATGACTGTGACCTCCCCATAACCATTATCTTTGTACAAATACACTGAAAATGATTTATGTGTTTAGTATTACAGCAATGAGTTTTAGGTAGCCAGGAGAGCTGATTGCTCTTCCAGAGACCAGAGTTACCTCCTGTCTCTCAAATTCTGATTCTTATCACTTTGTTGAATATTTTCTATGTATTCAGCACTGTGAACACAATAGTGAGACAAATAGACATAGTCAGTCCATGCTCTCAAGAAGCTTACAGCTCAAGGGGACACACAGATAACTGCATGAAGCAATTGTACTGCAGGAAACAATGAGAACATACACTAGGCAGGCAAGTAGCAGAGGGCAAGCAACAAGTAGCAGGAGAGCAAGTAGCAGAGGGAGTGAGTAAAAGAAGAGTCAGGGAAGACTTTGCTGAGAAAGTGACAACTGAGCTAAGTTCTTAAGGATTATTAGTTGACAATTATTTAGTGAAGAAGAGGTGCTATGGTCTGAATGTTTGTGCCCCCACTGCCAAATTCATCGTATTAGGAGGTGAGGTCTTTGGGATGTGCTTAGACCGTGAGGGTGGAGCCCTCATGAGTGGATTAATGCTCTTTAACCGAGACCCTGAAGAGCTAGCTAGGCCTTTGGTCATGTGAGGATACAATGAGAGAAGTCTGCAACCTGGAAGAAAGCCATCATCTGACCACGCTGGTACCCTTATCTTGGACTTCCAGCCTCCAGAACTGTGGGAAATAAATTTCTGTTGTTTATAAGCTACTCAGTTTATGGTATTTATTTACTTTTTTAATGGCAGCCTGGAAGGACTAAGACAGGAGAAAGAGCTTCCAGGCATAAGAAACATCAAGAAGAATGTTCTGAGGTAGGATGAAATATGACTGAGCATGAAAGACCATGCTCTTTTAAGGGAATGAAAGAAATCCATTTTGGCCAATGTGCAGTAAATAGTGTTAGGCAGGAAAAGGGGAAAAATTCAAGTCAAGCAGGGCCTTACATTAAGTTTTTTTGATTTTAGTCTAAGAGTAGCAGGTGCATGAAAAGATTTTCAACAATCACTACTGCTACAAGAAGGAGAACAAAAAGGAGAGGAGAAGGAGAAGATCCAGAAAGACCAGCTATAGTGTTATTGTAGTCATTTAGGTTAGAGGTAACTATTGACAGAAGAGATGCAAATAAATGGGTGAATATTAAAAAATTAAAATCAGTAAGTCTTATCCATGATTTAGATACACCTGGTGAGGAAGAAAGAGGAATAGAGTGATTCCTAAGTTTTAATTTTGGACTTTGAACAGAAGTTGATGGTATTCATTTAGAAAAAGAACTTTTAAGGAGAATCGGGTTTGGGGGCTAGGAGATTATATAGATCCTAAGTTCTGGTTGGCCATGCTGAAGCTAACTGTTTCAAGAGGAAAAATACCTAAAGATACTGACAGAAGATTTCAACAAAATAGCTAGGACTCTGCCAAGTCACCATATAGAGATGTGTACCTACTTTGATAAGCCTGCCAATATGCACAGAATTTCCAATTAGCTCTTTAGGTTAGCTAAAGTATAAAAAAAATAGTCAAGAATCACCAGCCATTAGAGTAAATTTTCGATCACAAAAGACAGATGGAAAAAAGGAACTCAGAGTAAACAGATGTGACTAGCAGGTGATCCATTACTTTAGATAGGCAAAATTTCTATTGTCTAATATAATTCAACAAAGGGCAACTTTCACTAGCTGAATTTTATTTTACTTTTTATTTAATAAAATAAAATTCTATTATCACAAATTATACACTTATCTGAGAGGAATGATCTCACTTTTGCCACTCACCTACTGGTTCTCCAAAGGTGATGGTAAGTTCTACTGTATCATAAAGAAAGGTGAATACAGCTTGATCATCACTCCACTCAATGACATCCCATTCAGACAAGCTGAAGAGAGATAAACAAGAGAGAAAACTTTCTTTTTTTTTTTTGAGATAAAAGAAGAGAGTTAACTTATGATACCACCCAAATAGTACCAGTGGCAGCTTCTGGAGTTCTCCACTGGCTTGGGAGAAGATCATTATTTTAATTCAAATAGTGTGACTCTACAATCTTACGCTTTTGAGAGAAATTAACAATTGACTCAATCTTGTTATATAGTAGAGAAAAACCAAATCTTGGCAATATAAAATATTTTAAAATTGTAATTCCATAGCACTCCCACCTTGTATACTTTCAGCTTAGTGTTGAGTGTATTAACTTTTTTTGAGGATGCATTGTATTATAGGTTAAAAACAGTGATATACATTACAAACACATGTCAACTGTTCTAGTGAATTTAGACAACCTGGAAGGCACAGGATAAAAAACAAATTAAGACCACTTGCTTTTCCTTACCTCAACTGATCCAGTAGCTCTTCAGTTCTATTTGTTTGTTTTTGCACAAAGTCTATTTGAGCAAGGGTCTGCTCTTTCTGTACCTCCAGTTCTAAGAGATTTCTGCAAATCAAATGGAGTATTCACAGAAAGATAAAGCCACTGTCAGAGAATTCAGACTTCATTAAAATAAAAGTTTGTGACAAAAAGTCATGTGCTAAATGGATCCCCAGTGAGGCAAATGACATCCATTTTTGCATTTTTAGTTTTTTAGGTTTCTTTTGAGTAAGTATTAAACTAGAAGTGTGGGTCTAAATAAGAAAAGTCTAAATCAATGGTTCTCAAATTAGGGTCTATGAAAATATCCTTAGGGGTTCACATGTTAAGATTATTATTAAAATTTACATTTTGATGTTAAAAATATAAGCATAATACAGCAAAAGAATGCCCACCTTAAAACTGAGACATGCCATAATTTTGGTGCCTGCATTTGACTTTAATAAGTTTTTAGAACTAAATAAAACTTATCATTTGTTAGTCATTTTGCTAGGATCAGTTTAATTTTAGGCAAATATTCCACTTGTCAAATTAATGTTGTCAGTTGAAATTTTACTGGTTTTGTCATTATTTATACTTGATTTCTTTTAGTCTTATAGTCAAACAAGACTCATGAGTATAAGAAATATATACCTCATTTTATATTTATTTATACTTAAGTACAATACAAAAACAGTTTAATGCTATGTTTATTTTCTTTAATAGGATCTTGGTATTATTTAAGCTTGAGGAATACTGCTTTGGATTAATGCTCTGCAAACAATAAGTGCTTAGGAAATACTGTCGATTAAGATGGCCTCCAAGGTCAAATTCAAAGTGAAGCAGAAGCCCTGAATTAGCCTTAGTCTATACTCATGTCCTCAATCGTGTCAGTTTCTGGAGATAGGAAGTCATTTAGCCATGTCAAGTTTAGCATATTTTCTAACACTCAAATTGAAGGCTAACCTTTGAAGCTTTTCTTCCTCAGTTTTCAGCTGTTCCAGTTCTTTGAAAAGAAAAAGACAAATCTATCAGAATGTACACATTAAAATGTTGCACAAAAATCAACTATTTTATTGGAAGGTCTATCTCACTAATCTCACCTAAATAAATAAACTCAGTACAGAGGATTTCCCCCTCATTTATCTCCTTAATTAATTCAGTTACCTTTCTCTGCAGCTCTCATTTCAGAATCCCATTCTTCCATAGGATTGTCCGTCTCTTCATCCCCCAAATTCTTAGCTTCTAAAGTAGATAACATGCATTAGAACAACTCAGTCAAAAATAATTAAACAACCAGAGATGAAAAGAATAGATGGTCCCAAAATGAAGTGTTAAGAATACTTTATAAACATTCACCTTGCTCCACCTTTCCTTGCCAAAAAGCCCTAAACTATAATAATAATTTCATCTGAAGACTTGCTTCTAGTGGCAGACAAGTGAACTTGGAGCCATATGGCTATGATCTCCAACAGCAGCTTCTCAGGGGACACTTTGGGATGGAAATTGTTTATATATAATTTGTATATATCAAAGTTATTTTTATGCAACCCTATGGACTAAGCAGTAGCAGATACACATATATAAGTGCATACACACACACATATTTAAAAATTTTATTTTTGAAACTTGGAATCATCCTTAAAAGTCCTGTCTCCCCACATCCAAACCAACTTTTGATTTTCACCTCAAAAATATTTTCTGAATCTACTTTTTTTCTTAACCACCAGGCTCCCTTAATGTATGCTACTATCCTTTCTTAACCATACCAGTTCAGTAACTACTTAATTTCTTATTTTCACTCTTGATATATTCAAATCCAATGTCTACATAGCAGCCAGTACCCTTCAAATGGCTATTCACTGTTCTTAGAAAAAGTCAAAACTCCTTAAGAGGTCCTCCTTGGCCTAGCCCCTAAAGCTGACACCTCTAGCTTTATCTCAGACTGTGTTCCCTTTTGCTCTCTCCATTCTAGCCACAGTGGCCTTATTTCAGACCCTTGTACTTGGTATATTTTTTCCCATTGAAGGCCTTCTGCATGTGGTATTCATATTGAATAGTCTGCTCTCTCCTCTTTTCTCACTTTTACTCCTGTTCATTCTTCAGATCTTAGCTTAAATGCTACTTCCTCAGAGGGAAGCCTCTCTTGACCTGACTAGGTCAGTTTTCTGTTTCAGGACCTTATAGCACCATGTAACCTCTCTTCCATAGCAGTTACCATAAAACTGTTTAATTCTTATCATCTTTTCTAGACTAGAAGCTCAACAAGGGCATAAAGTTTCATTTTTAGTCACCATAGTATTCTTAGCACTGAACACTGTACAAGGCACATAATAAGTACTTAGTAATTTGTTCGAAGAAAAATGAGTAAGAAAGAAATAGGGAGCCATTCAGTGGCACCTAGAAAGGGGGTGTGGTTACTGGTATTTTTAAAGATAAGAAAGAGGTAAATATATCCAGGAGAGGAGGCACAGAGGTTGAATATACAAGAGATAAAGGAAAATCAGTGCTGTAAGATTCCTGAGAAGACAAGAGGGATGCAGCTCAAAGTTTAGGTGGAAAGACTGATCACAGGGAAAAGAAAGGAAGGATGAAAGAATGGATATAAACATATAAAAGTTTGGTTTGTTTGGCAGCAGGGATTTTAGAAGTTCTGGCCTAATGGCTTCTATTTTTTTTTAATGGAGTGAAAAAGCAAGGTAATGAACAGAGGTGGGGCAGTCTAAGATTATGGAACTCATATACTTATTATCAAATTCAATGTATAAAACATGTACTAGGCACTTATTTGGTGGAAAGCATAGTGCTAAGAACTCTGAAGGATATGGAGAAAAATAAAAGCCAATCTTTACCCCCACGGAGCTCACAATTCAGTTAGGAAAATAAACTCTACAAAAGTAACTATAATAAGATGTGATAGGTACTATAAGAAGTGCTAACAAAATAGCCACGGTAGCTCCTTTGGTAAAACAAACAAACAAACAAACAAAAAACAGAAGGAGAATGCATTAGGCAAAGACAAAGTGGCAGGACTGTATAGAAATGAAAAGATTTAGTTGGAATTTAGGATGTGTAGGGAATAATAGTGAATTATGTAAGAAAGGAATACCTGAAAATGATTGTAGAGAATGTTAAATGTCAAGCTCAGGAATTTGGACTTCATTTTGTAATAAATGGGAAGACAGAAAAGTTTTTCAGGGAAGGAACATAATGAAAACTGTCCATAATTATTAATATGGCAGCAATGTGCAGGTTGGACTAGAAGGAGACAGACTTAAATTAATGGTATAAAAAGATTAGTTAGAAGACTTGGAAGTAGCACATGTCAGAATTAATGATAACCTTAATAGGAATGGGAAAGAATATAAGAGATGCTGAAGAAGCAGATATGACAGGACTTGATAAGAGAAACTCAAAGAGAGTAAAAGTTTTGAGTTTTTATAATTTATAAGAATGGTGATGCCATTAATAGAGATAAGAAACATCACAAAGAGAACAAGTTTTCAGATTTTATTTTGCATATGGAAGACAATACATTCCATTTTGTTCCTATAAAGTTTAAGGTGCTTAAGGACATTTTCAGAGAGGTTTAGCAGGAAGCTGGAACTGTTAAGTCTGGAACTTAAAGAAAGAGGCTAAAGATGCCCTTATCCAAAATGATTATAAGCTACTTAAGGCCAAAAATCTGTGTATATAATATCTTTTTTCTGATGCTAAGTACAGTATCTGGCATGCAGTAAGGTGCTAAATAAATGATTGGTCAATTTAACTGAATTTGGGAATTATTCATATAAACACAATTTTTTTCTTTTTTTTATTTTTTTAATTGAGGTACAGTCAATTACAATGTGTCAATTTCCAGTGTAGAGCACAATGTCCCAGTCATGCATATACATACATATATTTGTTTTTATATTTTTTTACTAAAAGTTATTACAAGATATTGAACATAGTTCCCTGTGCTATACAGAAGAACTTTTAAAATCTATTTTTATACATAGTGGCTAACATTTGTAAATCTAAAACTCCCAAGTGTATTCCTTCCCACCCCTTTTCCCTGGGAACCATAATACTGTTTACTATATATAAACACAATTGTTAAGGCAGATGAAAGCATTAGGGGAGAGAAGAGAAATGAGTAGATAATAAAATCTAAATGCCTACATAAAAGGTTAGTTAGAGAAGGGCCAACAGAGGAGCTAAAAAGAACAGCCAGGAGAAAAGAATAGGGTTAGGTTTGTACAATATCATAGAGTTCTGGGAGAAGTAAGTTTCAGGAAGGAAAAAATAATGAGCAGTGTCAAATGCTGAAAAAGATCAAGATGGCTAAAGACTGAGAACTACCAAATATGATTATGGGAAATTCCATGATCTTTGAGAAAGCAGTTTCTGGACAACACTAACAAGTCGGGATTATGAGAGGTCAAACAAAGGATAGGTAAATTTTCAAATAGAGGTAAGTTCATTTATTTAAAAAAATCAACCCAAGATTATGGTCTAGGTTATGAAGAGCATTCCAAAGAGACTTATTATCTTGGGCATCTCTTGTTGATTGTGTTATGAATGACCACAGTAAAGGAGCTTTAATTTGCTCTAATTTAATGTCTCAAGATGCTAATACAAGGCTTCAGCATAATGCTACCAGTAATGCATACTGTAGGGAAGCATTTAGATAAAATTATATTTTCTTTTGGAAAAGTATTCAAGATACTTTACCTATTTCCACCTCAGTGAGACAGTTATCAATCTTCTTAAGTATGTTGTCCATCTCATCTATCCTTATTTGAAGTTTCTCCCTCTCATTCTAAACACACAATATAGACTGTCAAGTTAAATATCCAAACAAAATATTATAAAATTATAAATGGTTCAAATTGCTAATATAACTGCTACATCTAAATCATGAACAGGCAAATCTGGAAATGAAGCTCAAAGCTTCAAGCCTCATCTTAAAAATTTTTTTTAAAAGCATACATAACCGATTAATATAAACTCATTTTTTGTACTTTATTTCAGCAATTTCATGTAACATAAAATGTTAATATATATTACTTTAAAAACAGAGTTCATAAAAATGTTCTATAGTCAAATAAATATGGGAAACACTGGTCAAATAAACTTATATAATTTTTTCTTTTTACACTACCAAAAAACCCCAAAAACATTTCTGACCTTAGACTTTAATATGCTAGCTATTATATTTCTCCAAAAGGGGGATGATGCATGTAACATTCCCCAGACTTATTTGCCAGTGGAAAGTTTGTTAATGCAAGACTTTTCTTAAAGGATGATCATTTGGGGAAATGCTACTTTAAACATATGCACATATTTACACAGCTGTGTATGGACTCTGAGAAGATAATACTACAGCATAGTCCTTAGCAATGGAAGATCAGAATCCTATATTTTTACATTTCAATATATATAATGGATAACAAATTTGAGATAAGACATAGGCCCAAATTAGTAAATATATTCTAGAATTACTCAAGATGCCAGGATTTGCTATTTTTGATAAATTTAACCCCATCTCTTATGAACAATTTTAAGTTAACCTAAGACTCTCATTCACATATCTCCTAAGGAACATTCTTCATATTCCACAGCCACTATAAAGTAACTTTAATAGATCTTTCTAAGCTCTTAACTGTCTCACATTACCTGAGCTGACTGCACCAGCTTGCTGTATAGAGCCACTTTTCCTTGGTGAGTGAAGACTTTAGTCATCTTGGTAAAACGTGATTTTATTTTGTTCAGATGAATTCCAAAGGCCTTTAGCTGTAAGGGAAAGTCAAAGGCTACACTGCACCAAAACAAATGTTAAAAAAGGCAAATGGTCTGGGAAGGCTGCTACAGCTGCTACATGCTGAACTTTGCCCATCCTAGCCTCTAATTCCTAAGGCTTCTAATTTGTAAATTTAATTCCACTTAATAGTTTAAGAACAGAATCAAAGATTTCAATTTTAATTTCTGCTTTTAATTCACTTATATTACAAATTAGAAAATGACAGGCTCTTAGTTAATAAAACTGCTTAAATATATTAGGGTACATATAAAATTAGTTGCTTATTATTTAATCATTTAAAATAGATCTTTCCATCATCTAAATCTGAATGAAAGGCAAACAAGAAGGAGGGAACTTTAAATAAATTTCAAATATATTTTACATATTAAACTAATCACTTAAGGTTTGGAAAGATTATATATTAACAACCATTTATGTATAACTAAATAATGCCTTGTTAACATACTATATCTGAGAAGTAATTAAAGAATTCATCACTAATTTATCAAATAACACAAATTTCACAATAAACATTGTTCAAAATGTCTATATTGATTTGCATTCAGAAAATGAGACAAAAGTACCTCCTCATCAGAGCAGTGTCTCATTTTTTCCCAGAGGTTCCTATTTACATCAGTCAACAGTTTATCTTGATTCAGTGCAGAAAGCTTTAATCTAAAATACAGAAAAGTTAATTAGCACAGAGTTCAGAAGTCAGCCAGAATGAATCAACTAAGATCTACAGGCATACTTAATTTAATTCTTCTTAATTCTTTTCTACATAAAGAGAATTCACTCAGGAACAGTAGCCAGCCTGAGTATTTCAGCAATTGTAGAACAGTTCAAGAATGTTATGATTCAAAAAAACTTCCCTCCCAAATAGAATGCTCATCTCAATGCTTCAACTTGTTCCAAAATGCTTACAAAGAATCCTTAAGGCCTGTGAATGCATAATTGTGATGTTGTAGTTATTATTTTAAGTAAAAGTTCCCAATTCAGTTCAAAGTCTTGTCTCACTTTTATAGAATAACATTACTAAAAGTAGCAAAGTTATATATAAGTCTCTTGTTAATAAGCAGAAGAAATAAATTTTCATTAGTGTAGGAAGATATTACATACAGGCACAGAGGTGCAAAGTCAAACAGCAGGGCACATCTAAACAGAATTTTCATTATATGCAAGAGCCTTCCTATGTCATTCAAAACAAAACATTCTCAGACAAATCATTTAAACATGAAGAACTTGTTCAGTGATGAAGCTCAGGACTTAGTACAGTGACTGGCACACTGTAGGTACTTGATACATATTTGGTGAATGAACAACCAGAATAAGGCAAATCTGCAGTATTATAATTTAACAGCATCTTAAATTTCTAGTTTTAAAACTACGTAATTCTTTTCAATTTAATTATTTTTATTTATTGAAGTAACATTGGTTCATAACACTATATAAGTTTCACATGTGCATTGTATTTTGAAATTTGTGTATACTACAGTGTGCTTACCACCAAAAGTTTTAAAACCACATGATTCTTAAAAGATTATTTTATTTTTCTGTTTGTTAGATTGGTTCAAATTTAGTTCAATAGTTCTAGATAAGTATGACATAAACATTGTTTTGGGTTGCAAGTCCTCATTTACCTGCTTGAATCTAGATATACCTAATTTGTAAATTAGTTTGCAGCATCTTCTTATACCAAACCAAAACCACTGGACTATATTCTGAGTAAAAACCATGTTCTTTTATAAAAGCAAAGCAAAGGCAATTGTGATAAAATTATAAACCCAAAGGCAATCTTGATTTTAGGCACTATATATAAATCTCTAAAGGGTACTAACTTTTTTTAAAGATGTTCATTTACAATCAATTTATGATCTCATAATCTGATAATTATTGTTTATTAAGGACCTACTTTTGGCAAAGAATGGCATGAAAACTTTATATACAGTATTTCTACTGCTCATTTCTACCTACTAAGTAGGTATTATTATTCCCAATTGGTAAATGCGGAAATGAAGGCTAAAGGGCTTACATAAGGTTACACAGCTAGTGTTATAGTCAGGATACAAAGCTGAAACTCTTTCCCACGTATCATATTATACTGTCATTAACTTTTCCTATGCTGTTGTTATTCTAATCAAAACCTTGCCACACAGATTATTCACCCATCCAATAAGATACAAAAAATGAAAACTTTCATACTCATCAATCTTCTGGCGAAGAGCTTCACAATCTTCTCTATAAATCTGTACCTTGGGTCGGTAAACATACTGACTTAACATCAGGTCTTCTGGAGTAGGTGGTGTGTTTATAGTAAACTGGAAAAAAAAAATCAGTCCCTCAAAACTGGTATTTCAAAGACAAAACCATGTTTAAGAACTGTTTCCAAGAAAAGGGAGCCGCCCTACACTGTTGATGGGAATGTAGTTTGTTGCAGCTGTTATTGAAAACAGTATGGAGAGTCCTCAAAAGACTGAAAAACAGACTTACCATATGATCCAGCAGTTCCACTCCTGGGCATATATCCAGAGGGAACCTTAATTCAAAAAGATACATGCACCCCAATGTTCATAGCAGCACCATTTACAATAGCCAAGACATGGAAACAACCTAAATGTCCATCAACAGATGACTGGATAAAGAAGTTGTGGTATACTCATACAATGGACTACTACTCAAAGATAAAAAAAGAAAATAATGCCATTTGCAGCAACATGAATGGACTTGGAGATCATCATTCTAAGTGAAGTAAGCCAGAAAGAGAAAGAAAAATACCATATATCACTTATATGTGGAATCTAAAAAAAAAAAAAAAGACAAAGAAACTATTTACAAAACAGAAACAGACTCAGACATAGAAAAAAATTATGGTTACCAAGGCGAGGGAAAGGGGGTGGAAAGGGATAACTTGGAATTTCGAGATTTGCCGATACTAACTACTATATATAAAATAGATAAACAATAAATTCTGTATAGAACAGGGAACTATTTTCAATACCTTATAGTAATCTATTAATGAAAACGAATATATATATGCATGACTAAAACATTATGCTGTACACCAGAAACGGACAGACTGCAACTGACTATACTTCAAAAAAAACCCCAAAACTGCATTACTTGTCAATTATATATCAATAAAGCTGAGGGAAAAAGGAAAATAGCTATGTATTATTTTTAAAAACATCAATACCTGAAAATTCAAACTTACCAGGAAACTCTTCATTAAAAGAAAGAAAAAAGACTTCAGTTTCCCAGGTTATCCTTTTCTATTCTCATTTCCTAGCCCTAATCCTTACTTCTATCCCAGGTTGAAGTTAAACTTTCTAGCTTATATAAAGTAAGGCAGTAAAAATTTAGTTGTTTTTTATTTTATTTTATTTTTAACATTTTTTATTAAGTTATAGTCATTTTACAATGTTGTGTCAAATTCCAGTGTAGAGCACAATTTTTCAATTATACATGAACATACATATATTCATTGTCACATTTTTTCGCTGTGAGCTACCACAAGATCTTGTATATACTTCCCTGTGCTATACCGTATAATCTTGGTTATCTGTTCTGCATATGCCTGTCAGTATCTACAAATTTTGAAATCCCAGTCTGTCCTTTCCCACCCCACCAGTTATTTTTTAAATGTCTTGTAGCTCTAATCCAATGACTTTTGATGTCCTTCATGTAGTATTGAGAAAACCAACTCAGCTTATTACATGTAAAAACCAAATCAAACAAACCCCATGACTGTCCATTATTCATAGGCAGTGTGGCAAAGAATAAGCCATTCTACCACTCTAAGTTTTGGTCTCCTCATCTATAAAATGGGCACAATATTGACCAGTCTCTTAAGATTTTGAGTTGTACTCCATTACATATATATGCTGCATCTTCTTTATCTACTCATCTATTGATGTGCACTTAGGATGCTTCCATATCTTGGCAATTATAAATAATGTTGCTGTTAATAGTGGGGAACATGTATCTTTTTG